CAGTAGGCGAGGATAGTATTCTGTCCTCCAGAAATGGATGCTTTTGTACGGTCGATCAGAGGCGGTACACGTCTCGATTACTCATGATGCACGTCGCGCGTATTGATAAGCTGTAATAATTACGTTTATGACCGCAAATTTCTACATAGATAATATTTTGACATAATACTTGAAGTGTTATTACGTGTTGCATGAAAGCGGTCATGTGTAACACACGCCCCCTTCCCTAAGAAATGAAAAAAACTTGCGTGTTTTACCATCGGCGGTGCAAGTGCAGATCGGCTGGCGCATAGAGATAGATTGTTGTTAACATCGAATTAGCGGGAACGCAAAACCTTGTCGTACGAAGGCGACTCGCTATCGCAATGCGCGAAGCCGCCGCTGCACTTGCGTCCCCTCTATCGGTTTGATGTTGCCGTGTATGAGTCGAGCGAACCAGGAGGGAAAACATCACTGGGATACTTCCCTCTATGGATCGCCGGCGTGGCACAAAACCCCGTGTGGTACGTTAGCGCTTGCCTCAGGAATGACCCGAATGCAACCAGGTAGAGGCTGCACACTGGTCTTTGCAATTTTTTCGGATGCATGTTGATTTCTAGAGTATGTATATCTCTGTAAACATATAGCTGTGCAATAAAGAGAGCGCGAGCGAGTGGGCGAGAGAGAGAGAGAGAGAGGGAGCGCGAGCCCGCGTAGAAACAGTAGGCAGTGTGTATGCCTATAGCCCTTCAGACTGATGCAAACAGTTACCCAAGAGCAATAATATCAAAGTCGAGTGACTAAACCCAAATATTTGCCGACAATGTCGGACATGTACATTTTGTAGCGAATCACTGCCCTGCATTGTGTATAGGGGCAGCACTGTCTCATGGGCAGACGCACTGGATTTCAATCAGTATAGTAACCATCCAGTATGACATTATACAACGTACTGATGTTTTTTTTTCTATCACTCAGTCTCCCGTGTCGTTTCGATTTTTTGCAAGTCTCTCTCTCTCACATCAAGTTGATTTTGATCTCAATGTAATAAATTTGTATAGCCTGAAAACACATTTTAGAGCTACCCCTCGCCCGATAGCTTTGTACGCATAATGTCTACCAGTGTTATACAACGAGTGTGAGCCGACGTGAGAGCATGTAGATGTCGAAAAAGTGTCTTTCTTTTGTGAAATTTAGCACCACGAGAGTTGTTTTAACGTGGCTAACTGAAATAATGAAATATGTTGTTTAGTTGTACTCGTGAAGAATAATTTGTCACAAACACCGCGCGTGGTATAAACAGACTGTTTAGCTGGTATTCGTTTGTCGGTGTCTACCTCAATGTTGCTACAGGAAATCAGGCAGAAATGGAAATACCATAACTCCAACTCTCATTTGAGAAGCTGCATTGTTGACTGGTCACGCCATCTATGATCAGTTGACTCTCAATCCAGTGATGTTATAATATTGACCTCGCTCCTTGTCTAAACGACGTTGCTGCACTTTTAATGTCTGCTTTGTTGCTATTGTCAGTGAAAATATTATGCATACATTTATTATTGTCTGTCGATAAGTGTATACTGTAGTCATTTTTCTTCAGAAAGAAAACTGAGTGAAGGTCTCACGGACAGTATTGCGGACGAGCGAGATTGCGATTATGACCATTTTATGTTAATTGTTGGCACATTTCAGTCTGAAAGTTTGAGCGTTGACGGCTTGTCGCGAAACGTTATCTAGTGTGAACAGACATCAGAACTAGAGTGTGATTAGCGTGAGTGGCGACAAAATGGTGACACGATGATTTCCGTACGTAATGACAAAATAGTCATTATTCTCGCTTACGGCATCGCTAGTGTATAGGTTTCTGTGCCAGAAAGTAGGCAGACGGTACCGAAACCGCACGTTCCTATTCGCTCGGGCGTATATTTTACAGCACTCCGTATCAACTCGCGGTCTGTTTTGCGTGTGTTGAGCAAACCGAGACTTAATTGCCAAGCACCGGCGACCAGGCTTACGGAGTAACACGTACGCTTGACACATGTAAAACCACTGTGCTGATAGTTTCCGTGCCTATCCATGTCTATACCGTAGAGGACACACTGTTCTAGCGACATTGTGACCGTACTCCTATTTTATAGAATGTTTCCTTATGGAGTCAATAAATTCAGTAGCATAAAAAACTATCTTGTTTCTGTCTGATGAATGGTGACATGTTAGGTGCCTTCAGCGGTTGATATATATTTAGTGGCAATAAGTGGTAAACATTTTTACACGAACACGTGCTGAGTTTATGTGCATTTATTCGCATATTTTTTTACAATACACGGGGGAGTAACTCATTTGCTTTTATGTACATGACACACCTTATAGTGCCGCATAGAGCACATAATTGCTATTCATCTATGCTGTCGTTGGCACCAACCATATATGGTTATTGAATGCGATCCTACTCATGTGAACTCTTGGCCTGTTCCAGAAAATATTACACTACTGCGGGAGAGATATTAGGTAACAGCACACAGGTCAATGGTAAATATTAAGTATGGTATCTAATTCTGTGAGGCTCGCTGAGCAGCTCAAACGTGAAAGAACATAGTGCTCTTTTAATTTACGCATATAACTCCAGCAATCTAGCATCTAGTTTTAAATCTAAAACGTAGCTTTAAACTGAAAATCTCTGGGAACGCAACAAAGTACCAACTGGCAATTGCCATTTCATGTAAATCAATATAAACATTGCACATTGCATACAGGGAACAGCGCTTATATTTAGCATAAAAGCGTTAAATAATATTCTGATAATTCAAATCTAATTAAATTAAACGGACGTTTATACGTAAATTTTTTTTATCTTCTTCCACTGTCTTCTTGCGTAACTTTAGTTAGCGCTTTCTTATTCTACCTTATCTAATACTCAAAATTACCAACGAAAATATTTTTATTTGTGAAAAACTAGAAATTATTTAATTATATGAATTGCAGATTTAGTTATTAATCTAACGTTGTTTATGTACATATTCGTCCATGAATGCAGACGGGTCAGCTATGGCTCTCTAAATTATTTACATTCTATCAACACAGACAGAATTAGGTGACAGTTTAGTGTTTTACTTCCTCGGTTGATAGATTTCGTTTATTCTTCTTTGTAGTATCGGAAATTTCCACCTATCCGAACCCATTCTGTTCATACTTGCGTGCACTCCATGAAATATTTTCATTGCCAGTGGTCTGCTTCACGAGTATGCAGTCGTTAGAATGACCTGAAGATAGAGAAAATGTGGCAGATAACTAAAGAATAACAATTTCACCCAACAAACAATATGGCCACTTACTTCAACACTCATACGCACGCTCTTCAAAATCAATAAAAAACTATTATTAAAAATTATATCTTCTCAAACAGTACTTTAGCTTTGTCTAGAAATGAAGTTGTTCGTTGATCAAATATGAAAACATAAACGTCATTAATAAACTCAATAGATTAAACAAAGTAACATGGAACTATGTAGACTTTCAACCACATTTTTATCACATACCTCTTCGAGACTTCCTGATGGATCCTTATTCTTCTCCTTCAATGTGATATACCTGTCTGCACATTAATAAAAATTGTTTTTTCTGAGTTTTTTTAATAAATAATTTTGCGCGACTTTGGCACAACGAAAAACGAGACGGTCGTATCTCTATAACATTTAAGTGATCTATATTCTCATAGTAGTTACAATTTTTAGCGACAAAGAAATGTTTCAGCTCTATCGCTCCTTCCTTCCCTACCTTCAGTCAACTCCTCCCTTTCTCCCTCCCTCACCCCATCCTCCTCCTGTCTCCCTCCCTCGTTCTCTCCCCTTCCTCCCTCGTTCACCCTCTGTGACACTTACTGTAGGCGAGGTGTAGTTTAACTAGGCAGAGCACAAAGCTCTCAAACGTCAGCAGCTCGTTGTTGGCAAACCTGAGAACCAGAACCTCTAACACCTTGTTGCTGACTGTAAAGCCTGAAACAACGAAAATACTCGTGTCAAATTTCATCCGCGTCTCTCGATCTCTATCTCTCTCTCTACTATCTGGATTCCAACTTACCGGAAGTCTGGCAACAGTGCTGCGCCAAGCGACCAAGTGGGGAACTGGCAAGAGAGCTATTGACTTGATGATGGAGTGAATACAGGGGGTTTGTTGCAGATAGACAGATTAGTAGCAGCTGTATGCGAGAGAATGGTGTGAATTGCAGCAAGAACATTCATTAACATAATTAATAAATGTGCATTATTAACTTTAACTGATCTGTTGTGCCAAATGATGTATTACTTGATGACTTATCCCGGCATAAACTTCCAAGATGGGTTCATATTGCATCATACCTTTTGCATGGAATATCATTCATAATACCGGTGTACAAGGTTATTGGGCGATATGATCCCTATAATTAGCATAATTATGCATATGCAAATGTCCAAATCAGTTTTGATTGGTCTAATCAGAATCAGATACCCTGAAAACCTTGAAGTATAGACACCACATTTGCTTTGTCATCTTTTATAATAAGCGTGTTGCGGGCCAAAAATGAAATTTTGGTAATGGCCGCCCTAATTTACATATTATGGATATGGAAATGAGCAAACCATTTTGGCTTTGGCCTATAATCTGAATCAGAGACCCTGAAAACCTAGGGGTAGACACAAAAATCATACGTTTATCTTTTGAAATAAGCGAGTTATGGCCAAATAATGAAATTTCAGTAATGGCCGCCTTGATTTGCATATTACGCAAAATGCCCAAAGGTACCAGACCGGCATCATCCGGATTCTTAATCAGCACCCCTCAAAGGTATAAAATCCGCAAAAAAACTTTGTGGGGATGCTAAAACCACGTAGGTGCTCTACAGATGGACTATGTGTGTGTCAGACTTCGCACACACAGCTCACTGCGGTGTATGCACTGCGAAAGAAACGCGCAAATACGGTGCGATATAACGTGCGCGCGATTGTTTCGATAAAGGTTTCCTGACGACGTCTTACACTGCTTACCGTTGCAATGCCGGTTACACTGTACGTGTGTTGTGTTAGCAGTCCGCACGCAAGGCGCTTCTGTCGCCTGTCATCCGCCTGTCAAAAAGGACAATTTTAGAACTCGCCAAGTATGACAATCGTGAGATAGTCGCTTAACATGGCTAGAATATCTAGGTGAATCAGGACGGCCAACTTAACGTATTTTTCCGGGCAATACTGCAAATGGAAAACTGCATTCGTCTAGAGTAAACAAAATTTTAACACAAAAAACCACGTTGGTTGATCAAAAAAATTCGGACGATAGTACTGGAATACTAGTCCAGGGATGTGGGCTAAAATGTTTATTGTGACAAAATCTGGCAACGGTTCACTATAAACATGCTAAATTATTCTTAATCTTAAATTAATCTTATGACTAGTTAATTAGGTTAATCTAATGATTACTCGTCAGTTCGGCAACGCCCCCGCCCTGTGCGCGTGTATTGGTCATCTCACTGCGCCCCTCCCCCCTGCGTGTACGTACGACGATAGACGCTGCGAGGAGAGATGACCGAGGAATGACCGATCCCATCACTGTGTAGACGAAGGTCGGATGTTCCTCTGACCCCTGGTCAAGTCCGTAGGATTCGGCGACTCCGCCAGTTAGATCCTGTAGCGCCCACGCCGTGTAGCTGCCATTCAGAGCTTCGTACGAGCCGTACAGCCTACAGAGCGACAGAGTGGTGTTCATTGAAAATAGCATACATACTACCAGGGGTTAATAATTACACAGTTATTATACCAGGGGTTAAATAATAATTACACAGTTATCATTATTTGACCATATTTGTCATTATTAACCTCTGATAATTTTAATGACTATGCACTTTCTGCTTTAAACGTATCATTTTACCAAATAAATTTGTGACAGACACTGGGCATGCGCGAACACGTTTATAACGATATTCTGAACTATGTGAAAGTTCGGGAAGACTGTTTGGCTTATACTATAAGTAATAAAGTAAGACCCTAAACTACCGGGGTCAAAGCTTGATAAATTAAATATTTATCACAATTATATTATGGTTATTTATACCCATTAGACACTTTTTCCGTTGTCGCCTCTCATATCTATAAAGAATAGCCCCTGGACAGTAAGAGCTTAGGATTCGCGACTACCACCATTTGGCCAGTTATTGCAGTCGCTTACTTGGCGTATGCCTTTTCCAGCAGAGAGCACCAGAATTCCGTCGGGTCGCCTGAGTGCATGTAGACGAGCTGGCCTTGGTAGGTGGGCAGCCGATCATCGACGCACACCTCCACCCACTCTCCGTACTGCCAGAAGCGGAACACAAACATACCTGCAAGCGTGACACACGTGTATGCGCTTACTTACCTGCAAGGAAGCTGTTGTGTGACTGTGGGTTGTGTGTGTGTGTGTGTGTGTGTGTGCGGGGGGGGAGGGGGGTTGAGGGGTCTCGGTGTGGAGAAGGCTGAGGAATGTGCGAATAGAAGGGGTTATAGAGGTTGTAGAGGCTCTGTGTGCGGAGGAGTGTGTGTGTGTGTGTGTGTGTGTGTGTGTGTGTGTGTGTGTGCATGTGTTTGTGTGTGCGCGCTCGTGTGCATGTGTGCGTGCGCGAGTGCGTGCGTGCGTACGTGCGTGAGCACGTGTGTGTGTATGTGTGCATACACGCGTTCATGTGTGCGTGCGCGCGTGCGTGTTTGTGGTACGTGCTGTCTACCAGAATTCTCCGTCACTCTTGGCGGTGAGGTTGATGCTTGCCTTGTCTTCGTTCGGCACGGTTCTCCACTTGTCGGATCTGTTAGATTCACATAGCATGTTCGACTTACCACGGTAACGCAGTATACGCAGCACATCGGCACAGTGGTTCTCATGACAGTATATCACAGCTAGACAGGGCTAACACGCGGCGCTACACGCCATAGCAACAGGAAGGAATTAAAATGTGTATTTTACATTTTATTCACTCCGGACAGCGTCAATTAAATACACATGCATCTATACCACGCTAGGCACGACCCGCGCATGTGAAGCATGCTGTTATTGGGGCCTGCGCCGTGTAGGCATATTATATCGACACAGCTTAACGGTCTTGTATATAGGTGCCCTCAAGCACGTTCATTTTGCTTCAGAACCACGCCCAGCGATGACTGGCAGGTCTTGCGCGCACTGTTTGTAACGCTAAGCTAACAGCTCGTTGCCATCTTTGGAAACGATTCGTGGGCCCATACAGAGATTAATACGAATATAAATATACATAGTTTTTACGCGTATGCTCCGCTGGAAGTATACACGCAGCACTTGTAAATTTCCGGCTAAAAGTGACTGGGAGTCTCTAAGTGCGAGATTGTGTGCCCTTTATTGCGAACTTTTAATGATGATGTCACAACAGCAATCGCGTTTTTCTCCGGTTTTTCTATAGTTACCAGACGTTTTATTTAGTTAATAATCACTCATTGCAATTTCAAGTAATCTCTTGAACATCTCCTCAGGTAAGCATATCTGTACTCGTGTGGTAGTGGCCCTGTAGCCCTTATAGTAGTGGCCCTGATACGGCAACTTAGAACCGACAATAATTCACCTAGTAAGAATTGCGATACTAGTGCGTGTCGCATAGAAGTGAACTGGGCTGACACTGTGGGTGTTGAGTGCAGGAGTATCACTCACTTATCATGCCACAAGCCGTTCCATTCCACGTCGCCGCTTGGGTTGCACAGCCGCACCAACCTCACTCTGCCTTCTGTGTATGTGTTAATCTGAAGGACAGTTATATTATTTAGGTTTAGAACGTTATGCCATTATAAAGACATCATAAAACGAGCGTGCGCGTGCGTGTGTGTGCGCGGTGTGTGTGCGTGTGCGTGTGCGTGTGCGTGTACGTGTGTGTGTGTGTTTGGGCGTGTGTGTGCGCGCGTGTGTTTGTGAGCGTGCGAGTGTGTGTGTGTGTGCGCGCGTGTGTGCGAGTGTGTGTGTGTGTGTGTGTGTGTGTGCGTGTGCGTGTGCGTGTACGTGTGCGTGTGTGTGCGTGTGTGTGTGTTGGTCATAATCTACTCTGTCTTTCTCTCTCCCTCTCTTCTTGATGTCTTATTTTTTACACTACTTTGTCTGGTGATCATTGCATGGAATAGTAACATATACTAACACTCCCGCTTTCCAGTTTGAATATAGATTATTAATATTATTATTATTACATATATTATTGGAAATACCTGCTTCTTTCAATAGATTCCTGAGAGTGTAACTCCAAATTGTACCAGTGAACTTTCTGTCATATTCCATAAACAGAGTCTGTGAAAATGATAAAGCATACACACACTGCTGATGATTTCATCAACGGATAATACATAGACCTATGTACATCGAACCAACGCATGCTTACATTTTAGCAATGACGGACGACATACCTGTTATTACGTTAATTTTCTATTTTTTAATTAGTTTAATTGCTTAGTACGGCGCCTGTAATTTAGTGTATTTGCATATGAAAACAATATAAACGACTGCTGACTGATCCTCGTTTCAAGTAAAACGAGCATATATGAAGTACAATCTTAAGGTGGATGCGAGCTGCTGTCCAAGTATATATATACCTTCCAACGCTGTAAACTGTGAACGATCTCGGCTACATCGCTAGGATTTATACAGCCATGCATGGTCGTCTGAGGATCATGTGCTTAAGGAAGACACGCGGAATCACGGCCATCGATGTATTAGTAAAAGTCATCTTCTCTATGTAATAGCCACGGAGAAAAACAATACAAACTGGTGCTATAAACCATGATGGTTAGCTTATAGTAATTTTACGCCCCCTCCCCACGCCACACAGATTATACGTGGTGCTTCTTGTGCAGCATTCTGTGTAAACGTAACACGATCCCGGCGAGAGAATAATCAGACAACGAAAGCGCATTTTCATCGGTCACATCGGATTTCAAATTGGTTTCTGCGCCACGCCACAGCGCTCCCAGGCCCAGCCCGGCTGTCGAGGATACATCCTTAATCATGATGAGGAATTTACAGAATTCGAGAGGAATGTCTTTTGTCTTCTCTTTGCTCTTAATGTAATCTGAAACGGTATCGATTAAGCGATCACACTCGGGCGCGTATAGCATTGGAACGGGCTATTATGCGAGCAATAATTAATACGCCGGCGCTTTTGCAACAATCTGTCCGATTCTGTTTATAAATACACCGAATAGATTAACGAGCAGGAAATACCGCTGCGTAATTGAAGATGGAATAATAAAATTATTCGCAGGAAATGGACTATATAGTAGGCCTGCTGCGGGGAAAGGGCCGTGGCGCTAAACACCATCTAGTACACGAATGTGTGAATGAGTGATCATAACGCCGCCTGGTGGAGATATCATTAGTCTCCGCTGACATCATGTACTCTAGACTCCGCTCGTGATGTGTAAGCATATGCGCCTATAGTAAGCACGGTTCATATCGGATGAGGGGGGACTTGATCACTAAATCTGTCCCGCCCGGTATGTTCCCGTTCCTTTCCCACGCTGTTTAACTTACAATGTGTCTCGACCACTAACTATATAGCCTACCCGATACGTTCCCCATTCTCTTTCACTTTCCGTATCGTACGGTAGACGAGTTACATTTGCAAGCCACGTGCTACTATCCTTTCTATAACGTGTTCCCTTTAGTTTTCTTTCCCACGTTGTTTAACTTAGAGGGGCATGATCACAAGTCCATCCCACAACTGTATGATACACTCTATCTTGACTCTATCTCACCTATCGTATTCCCTTTCATTTCTTACGCTGTTTAACTTACGCTTTGGCAATGCTTCCTTGAGGATCTTCTGCAAGTCTTCGGCATAAATTTTGTTGAATTTGCGCTCCACGGGGTTTGGTACCAGCTGCCTCTGCACTTGCTTTTGCTGAAATGTTGTTATAAACGACTCCAATCTTTAAATGTCCACCCTATCTGCGGCTCCCAACATCCGTATGTATGATTACAGTGATTACAGAAATTAAGAGCACACAAACGGCAACATATCATTAATATCATTGTAGTAAACATAACATAGTTTATGTGCTGGTAGCGTATATTTACACCCAATAAACGTATTATTATTAATATTAATAATAATATTATATTATTATTATTATTATTAATATTATTATCGCCATCGTTATTATTACCATGAACTGTATGAACATCTGCTTCCATTGCGCGCCATATATAACTCAACGTTTTTATTCATATGAAGGATAATGTGTTAAATAGTTGGTAAGATACTGACTGGTATGATGGTGTCTGTTCTCCGCGTGTACGTGTTATCTTCGTTCACTTCGCTGTGGGAAAAGAGAACATAAACAATTATTCATCTAGACTATTTTTGCAATTATCTCACCCTCGATTGATTTAAGTTTTTTATATTTTTTTCCACCACCTCCACATCCTCAGTCACACATTCCCCTTACATGCGCCACGTTCCACGCAATCAAGGGGAACGCAAACCGTTAAAATTATCGTTACGTTTCGTTATCGTATTAACGTTACGCGAACTTGCTGTAATCCATCCCATAATTCCACGCACCCATTCACGCAAAGCAGTCGGTGTCATTGTATTGTTAATGAATTCGTGTCGAGCTTTTCAGCAAAAATTACACAAATTACTTTTACACATACATTATTTTAGTTGAGACCTACAGTTTATTAAGTCTAAACAGTATTAGTAACGCACAAATTGTATGACAGCAGATCAGGCTCGTCTTTAATTATTTACAAGCATGCCTTTAATTAATTAAATGCGTGTATGTAAAGTTACAAGCATGCACGTAATTAATTAAATGCGTGTATGTAAAGAGTCGTAAAGATACATGCATGCTTGTAATTCCAACCAATCAGACAAAGTCTTACAAATAATTAAACGCGTGTATGTAAAGTTACAAGCATGCACGTAATTCCAACCAATCAGACTCAGCGTGTGGAAACGCTTGTCTATATTCAGGCCGGTACAGGAGATAATTTGCATTAGCGATCTCACGTGCAGAAGTGTGAAGCATGGTGAGGTGGTGGAGAAGGAGGAGGAGAGAAGCTGGTGGAGAAGGAGGAGGAAGCTGGTGGAGAATGAGGAAGGGGAGAAGGGAGAAGGTGGTGGAGAAGGAGGAGGGGAGAAGCTGGTGGAGAAGGAGGGGGAGAAGGGAAGCTGGTGGAGAAAGGAGAGGGGAAGCGTAGAGAGAGGAAGCTGGATGAAGAAGGAGGAGCGAG